TAGCGGCAAGCGGCATACCGTACGCCGTACGCATTAATATGCAGTGTATAGCCTTTTATGCAACAGTGTATGGAAATAAACGATCAAAATGGTATACTTTAGAGCTTGTGGCATAACAGCAGCAGCTCGAAATCATCGAATAACGTTTCATCGATTAGTATTATCAACAATAATGAGATTTTTATTTTGGAGATTATAATCATATGTATAGTATTGTGAAATTGTAGATTCACAATAATTACTAAATAATTTTCACTCACAAACAAGTTTCCGAAAAATCCGGATCAAAGAAATGCATGGATAAATTTTTGTAAGGACGAAGGATTTAATATAAATTTAGATTTTAGATTTTAACATTGCTCTTATGGAAATACTGCACGAGTGCAATCCCAATGAAAAACGCCATTAAAATTTGGTATTATTGTTGCATATTATAGTTATTTTCTTTTAATTGTACATTATTTCCTAATTAAACATAACAAGTCATTCAATATTAACGCCCTTGAGCGGCCATTTTAAGCGACCACTTTATGGGCTTGTTCGTTTTAGCTGCACTGGGGCAGCTCTGGGTCTGCTCTAAACAAGATAATACAAAACAAACTATTTATCTGTCCTGTATTATCCTGTGTAGAGCAGAACCAGAGCAGCCCCAGTGTAGCTAAAACGAACAAGCCCTATGTAATTCGTGCGCATAATGTGCGAAACGGAACGCAACCTGTGTAATTTTGTGTCGCTTGTGTCTCTTGGTGGAAAACTACCAAGGATCGCGAGAGTATCTGTCCTTGTCATCCGAAGTTTCTTGGTTTCCTCGCATGAGGTCACCAAAATCAATTCGAACTCGAGCCGACATTTTTGTTAACCCTTAATTGTACTTCCGATTTTGGCGTTGTGCGTTTCTACACGTGTTTCTGTCTTTTGGTAACAAGCTGTACGGCAAGATGGTGAGTTTTAAGTTAATTATTTTCAAAATCCAACTTTTTTGGTACAATCTTGAATAATAAGCGTTAAGTGTTTGGATAAAACAATAAATTTTTTAGTGCAAATGTGTCTTAAAAATATTTTAATGGAATAAAAACAATAAGATAATATTTTGGGATTAGACGCTTCCACTTACATTGCGGTTGTAATCTGCGATCTATACAAACAAATTTTGCAAAAACTATTCTTGGATGGAATTTTCAATTTTTCACAATACTTATAAAAATCTGACAGTTTTTATTGCGCAATTTCACGCTACGTTAAAATTCATTGAATTGCTTCATCGAATTGCGATTAACATTGAGGTTAACTTTGAGTACACAATGTATGAATGATTAATGATATATACTTTTGTTTTTTAGTCGCTCGTGATTCCTGAAAAGTTCCAGCATATTCTTCGTGTCATGGGCACGAATATTGACGGCAACAGGAAGGTCATGTTTGCCATGACCGCAATTAAAGGTGTTGGTCGACGTTATGCCAATATTGTTTTGAAGAAGGCTGACATTGATTTGGACAAGCGAGCTGGAGAATGCTCAGAGGAAGAGGTAAATTTTACTATCTATATCTATCTTTTTACTAAAAAAAACATTACCTTTGTATCATAAAATACATATTTAATTAATTACTTATAATACTTTTAGGTGGAGAAAATTGTTACTATTATGGCCAATCCTAGGCAATACAAGATTCCAGATTGGTTCCTCAACAGACAAAAAGATATTGTTGATGGAAAATACTCGCAGGTATGAAAAAAAGGACTTTGGCTTTTTACATATATCTTTTCATAAAAAAAATTAAAAATCAAACATTTAATAAACATGATTATTATATATGTTATCGAAACCAAATAATAGAATTTATTAAATCCAAACTGGTTGAAAGATATAATGCAATGTATGCATGTATTGAATGATTATTTATCTTTATATTTTCCAAATTTAATCGCACAAATTCACGACTGTACGTGCAAACATTTATTGTATGTTCAGCTGGTAGCTTTGTGCAACAGCAACTGCACTATTGTACATTCGAATTGTTTCCTAATATTTCTTAATATTCTAAGTAATAGGTACAAGTGCAACAGAGATCAAGTTACTTAAAAATATGTGATTGCTAATAGAGTTACAAAATATTTCTAAAACATTGCTTGTGTATTTTATAGCTCACGAGTGCCAATTTGGACTCTAAGTTGCGTGAGGATTTGGAAAGAATGAAAAAGATCCGCGCTCATAGGGGTCTGCGTCACTATTGGGGTCTCCGTGTACGTGGTCAGCATACCAAGACCACCGGTCGTCGTGGACGCACGGTCGGTGTGTCGAAAAAGAAATAATTTTATTAATTTATGTACTCTATACCGATTATTAATAAACTTTTAAACTAAGTTTTTCATTCAATTATCATTTGATATTTAAAAAAAGAACCTATCGCAAAACATGGCATAATTCAGAAATAACATTTATTGTGCTATTCTTTAATTGTAGAATAGTGATTTATTTAAATCGAGGTATTAACTTCTTGGTCCTGGACAGTCCTGGAGTAACGAATCATCTATAGTAATATCTAAGCCAAAGTAACTCTAGTTTCAACCAACTCAGGTTGAAAAAGCAGAAGAGTAATGTGCTAAATTTGCTCTAAAGATACAATTGACAATAGACGATAGCTTTTAAGTGTCTGAATGATGTGTAATAAGCATCTCCAAGTATACTTTGGGCACTTTTCCTCGTTGATTGCCTCTGATTCCCATGAAGTAATCTTCGTCGTCGGGAATTTCACAAATACCGATTACCTAAAAAATATACCTCATAAGATGTATTCAGTTTATTAAAATACGACCTTGTACACAATTTCTAATCAATAAATGTGTGTGTATCGATTGTATAATATACAGGCGCGCGTTATAAAAACAATATATGTGGTGCTAAAGTAATAAAGATTCATATCGTGACACAGTAAATAAATAAAATACTCTTACAAAGTAAAACGGCAAACATATTTATTGATACGTGCACAACTTGAATAAATATACACATACATTAAATCGTTCAGGCACAAGACGTTTATGACATGACCCTTTTGCGATGAGTGTACATGTATTGTGTACCTATGTTTTTTTACAAATCTGTAGATATGAGAAAGAGAGAGGGAAATATAACACACGATACTGATACATGGATTTAAAGATAAAAAGATAGAAGAAAGCTGATGCCCACAAAAGTTCAAACAAATTAAAAATAAAATTAATATAACATCTATCATGCATAGTAGAATTCATTGTAGAAATGCAAATATAATTGTCAACCTTGTAATTGATAGAAACAGACTTTCTTAGCCTCGAGTTAATCAATTAACAGATATCTTAGACCATGTTCGCAACTTGTAAAATAAACATTAACTTACTTAAAAGATTGCATATAAACGTTCGGTGATTCCAAAAAATTTATAAATTGATATTTGCTGGTACTTATATAATATTACTGTTATTTTTCTGTTTTATCTTTCTCCATAATGATTATTAATTCATTTAATTCTCTCTGTCGAGTTTTTGTATTAAGATAATTATATGCATTGCACGAATATCACAATCTTTAAAAGTTTTCGCTATGTTTTTCTGTCCTTCCGGTAATATGTGAAAGTATAACGCAAATAACGAATTTTCAAAAATTTTTGAAGAAGAATATACCTCTATTTAGAACATAATATTTTGTAAGAGTTATTAATAAGACGTACTAGTTGTTTAAAAATAAATGCACTAGTGTAATGTTGTTAGTATTAATATAGAGTTCTTAAAAATATTGTAAATCTCGAACGTCTCGATTTAAAACGTGTAATTATAGTAACAACTACTTAAATCTAACGCATATAAAAAAAATGTAATATTTTGGAGATAAAGTTCGGAGATCTTAGTCCTGTCGAGACTTCTCTCTAGATGCACCAGATTCGAATTATTCTTAGGTTCTGGGTCGAAAATTAACAAAGTGACAATTGTAATTTCAAAAAGTTTAAAATAAATCTCATACCGTATCTGACACATAGAGAAATATAAAGAGAAATCTCTCAAGAGTATAGATTATACAGAACTCGATAAAAAGGATTTTACAACTAACAAGGGAAGCGCACGAAGTGTTAATCGCAAATAGGTATATTATATATCGTTGAAAAGATCTTGTCGAGTAGAGTTCAGCTGTGCAATATCTCGCTTGAACAGCACCTCTAGGGCGCTATGCGCAATAGAAGTTATATAGCTATGAGTTTTTTGAAAATTTAGTTCATTATTAAGTTCAAAATAATGCGAAAAAAAGTTAAAGAGAAACAAAAAGAAAATAAAAAAGGGGGACCTTTTGCTTGATACCTTTTTCTTGAAGCAAAAAACCCCAACCAGTTTTTCAAGCGAGATATTGCACAGCTGAACGCTACTCGGCAAGATCTTTCCAACGATATATAATACATATCCATTTGCAATTAACACTTCGTGCACTTCCCTCGTAAGCGATCTTAATATACACTGCGACTTAATCCGACTAATAAATTCATGCCTTTCGCTGGCATTTTATCGCCAAACATGCTTCTGCGTACCTAAAATCACAAGGTAAATTTCGTTACCTCGTCTTGCACGACGCTTAACTCGCTAGAATCCCTCGCGTCGTAATGGCATAAGACTCTCGCTCTATCCAGACCGTTCTCGGCTAGTACATTGGTGGTGACTGGTGAGGTGTTGTAATAGGCACCCCCAGACAGGCTGGGTAGGATAAACGATAAATGAGTATAGTGCGCATTTAACGAAGTAAGGTGTATTTAATAACGATGAGGAGACACTAAGCAAACGTGAGCAAGAGCTTTCAAGAGAACAATATACCGCGAATAATCTCTTAATACCGCGAAATATCTCTTACAACTGAACTTTTACTTCGTTTTGACCAATATAAAGATGGAAAATCGTACTGATATAATAACTGAATATGCAGTAGGCTTCAAACAAAGTGCGCGATATGCACTTTTTCATTATTTTTTTAGGATACATATTTACGAACATAGCTTCGATTACATGTTCACCAAGTTAATTATCAAGATAACTGTCAGACTATAGATATATCATATATATCGATATATTTATATTTTATACCAACCAAACAAATTGACTTTGCTAGAAATAGCCACAGGCACCAAGTTCTATATACATAGTCATTGTTTGACAGTAAGCAAGATAATAAGTACCTCGTTTATGTCGATTAGACCAATATACATGCAATTTGAGGAGATTGAGTCTCCCATTAGCATATTTCTTATTCCGCTACTTAGAGAGTCTGTTCTTACAAGTATATCTATGTTAAATCTACTAGAATTACATGCACTATTGTTAGACTTTAATATCCGCTTTGGGATAATTGGAAATTTAATCTCTTCCCTCTCCACAGTATAATACAGCCAGATTAAACATTATTGTATAAAAACAAGAAAAGCGTGATATGTATCTACAATTACATCACTGTTACATGACATTGTTACAGCGTCGAAGATCCATTGCTCTTTAATGCCATGGTATCATTCTCGGCCGAATTACGGCGATTCAAAGCAATTACTGTACAATTACGAAGGAAATTGTATAAGAGATAGAAGAAGAAAAAAAAAGATGATAAGATTGTAGGTCGCATTAATCGCCGTAAATCGTTCACAAAGAAATCTATCGAGAAAAAATGTTTCGTCTGTTCTATTATACTCTTGCTTCAATATACAATTATAATTGCATATCATCTCATACAAAGTATCAGACTATCCATTTAATAACAAATTTGGAACGATTGGGTGACGCTCGCGGCGATTAAACTCTATTTATAGCGTACGTAGAACAACTTTAACAAACGTCGCAACTCGAAAAAGGGGAAACTATTTGATAATTAGCATAGATCTATTAATTAGATTGATAATTAGCATAGATCTATTAATTAGATTGTTAATTAGACTTGGAACTTGTAACAATCCTTTAACAATTGTGTCTGAAAAGCTGGACTAAACTTTGCTGATATCAGTGTCAAATGTGGCAGTAACATAAGCTGTAGATCCGGTGGTTACAGATGAATTTTGAGAGTAGACAGGTGAGTTTACAGGGAGTGTGGGCGAGGGAGTTAACTCGATCACTTCCTCGCTGTTGATTCTCAGTAAAGGGCTCGGTTGACGCGCCCTGCAATTCCAATCATGCAAGCAAAGATTGTGTGGCGAGAAGGAACATTCAAACAAATTGGATCAAGGTCCATAAGCAAGGAATAATAAAGGCACAACCAAAACTAGTTATTACTATCAATTATTAGCTCAAGATAGGAGCGACAGGATATGGAAGCGATTAAGTAGCGTCGGCACATTAGATCTGGTGTAATAATTTGATTATCCGCTGGTTTCGCTGGAGTCAGTTATCTTTAAATTTTAGTTTTACTGACTGTAACATTAATGTTTGAAGATTAAAGCAAACTGACATCGTTGAAACCAGTTGAAATAGGTAATGTTCGTCAAACCAAATACAATTTATCTCCCATATAGCAGCAAAGATTTATATTCTGAAAAATTTCACCACATTCAGTCCATTTCCTTTTTGTCCAAATCTATGCCCACAATTGCTCTAAGGAGAAGCAGAGCTTACATATTGATACCTAAGGACAGTGATTACCATTCAGGAAGGTTTGTCAAACATTACTCACTCGGATCACCATAAAGTGGGATAGCTGTACAAGAAATGCCGCGATGATTGCAAGGATAATGATGTGCGGAACAAATAAGAGAATACTTTGAAACAGCGAGAAAAAATGAAACAGCAAACTTACCCGGCAAGCTCGCGCTGTAGATCTTGCATAACGGCGTGACATTGTGCGTAGTGACGAGTTTGCGCCTCTACGAACTCGTGTAGACATCGCAAATGTCCAGCTTGAGAACTCAAAACTCCCTCCAGCAGCAATTTGACAATCTCCGCTTGCCGATCAAACTCCGATTGCGCTACCCTCAGCTCCCTCTCTGCCTGAGTGAGCAATATACATATTTTATTGTTCCTGTCTTCTGTATATTATACATTTCGATCTTTGCTGTTTAAAATAATAAGGAAATTGAAATTTGACTGATTCAGGAAACGGAAATAATTGTAGCTGCCAATTGACATCACCATTAGATTCTGTGAAAGGTAATCCGTCTTTCGTTCTATCTTCGTACATAATGCAAAGGAATATATTTCATATTCTACTCTAAATTCTTTATGCAATGTACATTACATAAAGAATATTTGCAGTGCAGCATGCAAACGTTACGATTGAAGATGTTTATAAATTTTAGTATTCATAGATTCATAAATAATAATTATCGAATTGTTCTTATTTCAATCATATTGAACCTAGACCTCTCTAAATTGAGAAACAAATCAAAACTGTCGATTGCATTAATACCTGATCGAGTAACACTTCGGGTGATACACCAGACTCCTATCAATCGCAGCAGTGTGAAGGACAAAACACATCATAAACATACAGCACATATATTTTTAAATAAAGTTGAGAAAAATATATTAACAATACTTACACTCTGTTGACCCAGCATGCTTCTTGCTTTTCTTACTCTATTTTTACATGCGTCCAAATCCAGTCTGTAGAAATCGTTTAACATCAGTGATGAAATTTTTGATAAATAAAAGAAATAAACAAAACAATTTTGTTACCTCTTATTTGCCAATATTGCCATTTCCTTGCTAACAGTTTTCATCTCTCCATCCAAGAACTTCCTCAGAGGTTGTATATAACAGTTGGCAGCAGTTCCTATAAAGTCCCTTTCTATTTGTCCCAATTTCTGCTGACATTGGCCAATCTTTATTAACGCACTGCCTAAAAATTAAATCTTTTTGTGCAAAATTGTTACATCTATACCATTGTATATACACAATGGAAAATTCTCTTATCTGGAATACTAACCATATGCTATCCCTGGACCAAAATCATTTCCAGCTTCTATCATATCAGTGCCTACATATTCCAAATTACTCAGCCTATTAGGTTTTTTCTTGTCAATTTTTTCATAAAAGAAGTCTTCAATCCTGTTACCTACAATATATTCGAAATTAGTAAAAAAAAATAAAACGCATGTTTTTATAAAAGTTTTAGTCGGACATGTAATAATATAATTTACAATTTAATTAATACTTTTAATTCAAGTAAATAGCATTTGCTACCAGGATTAGGGGTAAGCACAGCTTCCATGTTCCGCAATATTTTCTCTGTCCATGTTTTAGTGGCATTTGCTCTCTCCGCTAGATGTTCCAAATGTGCATCTAACTCTGTCTTTTCTGAAGTACCCAGTGTTTCTTCTGTCATCTAAAAGTAAATGTATGTCATAATTTTATGCTATTACATTTATAGTATACAATAATATTATAGTAATATTATATTATTACAATAATTTTATAGTATACATTTTTCTCCTAATATATATAAATATAATATAAATAATAATATAAATGTCCAATCTAATGTCTCAAACGTAGCATATCAAATAACATAGAACATATTCTGATGAATAAACATATTTTACATGACATTCGTGAGAAAATAATAAATAAAATCAAAGCTTGTCTCATTATAAGAATAACGTAATATTAGAGAAAGTTTTATTTTATTATACAGAAACGTCAGAAAAATCGGTATTAATCAATGACATTGATCGCTGAAACAAAATTAGAAATTTAGGTTAAATGATATGACATTAACGCAAGCCAATTTAGAATTTCATGACTGCGGTAACGAATAAAATGTGATGAGAACAAGCAGTTGCAGAAGAAGTCGAGAAATTCGTCTAATGACATATAACGTATTCAATCATCGATTCAGAGCGTTGAATGTCAACAGTGATAAGCATTAAAATGAGATTCGAGCGTGTGCATGTTCATTTATGTTTTGTAAAACTGGGATTCATTAAAGCAAAAATATCGGATTTCCACCTGTACAACTCGGCTAAGGGCGGCTCCCGCATCCTTCACCAACTTCTTCACGTTAAAATCCATTTTCGCGATTAGATCTGATTAGATCTCACACCCACGATCAAGGTTTCTTGACGGCACTTAACGGAGAACTTTTAATCCCCCAACCCCCACCCCCCCTCTCGATGTCTCTTTATGCTTCGTACACATATACATACATTCGCTTCTTTTATACACTTTATTTTCTATCGATCATTAAGGGCGGTATTCATAGACGTTGTTTGAAACCTGTCTTAAGCATGAACTTATAGCGTTTTCGAT